CAACTTATTTGAATCAGAAAGATTACCTTTTTTATTTAAGATCTATTGGTAGAGCCTTGATGCAGAATATAGAATATTTTCATCAGTTGATTTGTATTAATATTAGCATTAATCATGATAAATTTACATTATATTCTTCTTTTCTATGTAGTTGCGGAAATCTGGTATTTCTCAGGATGTTAAAATTAGAATGCGCTCTGCACCATATATCTCCTTTAGTGCATTTAGCTAAATTTTGTTAAAAAACAGTCTCTAAATTATAAATATCTTTCTGTCGTCAGGGGTTGTAGACCGATGTCATTGCAATTTTATATAGTTGACTACCAATTATTGGAATTAACTCGTTGCCAAAAAAGAGTGGATTTCTCCAGTTTTTATCATGTAACTAAATTTAATAGAAAGCTAAGCAGCTCTTCTAACGACGTTATGTTTTATATTTTACGTTTAAGCAGAATTTCGAGACTACATGTAAATCAGTTATATGAAATGTATTCACCATATTTCGTTTAAGGTGATGAAGGACTCGTAGTATAATTTTTCCACAATAATATGAATAAAACTGACTCCTCCGTTGAATTTCACCTGACCTTGCTTTCCCAAAAGTGGTTTGACCTTGTATCCGTCTGATCAACACTCGCAGCAGGAGTCGAACCGTAACATTTTAGAATGTGAGCTGGACACGTTAACCACTCGGCCACATTGCCACGAGTGTCCTTGGGTCACAGGACCGATGTTAATTTCAAGAAATACAAGGCCTTTTCTCATGTCACATTTTTTGGTGGGATTGTCGATGAAGAAAACTTATTTTCGCTATGACAATAGACTATATTAAATTTTGCAAACATTTACTGTAAAAAATAGTAAGAAATGAAGCAAAAGTCAAAGAATCAACTACGTAGAATTTATCAAAGCGAAGGAAAATCTACAAAATTTATTATTAGTACTACATTTATAACAATACATTTACCAGATTTATGCATCTATAATAGTCTCTCATTCGCTATAATAATTTAATGGAGGAGGAAAATGCTTCAGTCTATCATAAACAGATGTGTAAATGCGTATGCATTTTTTATATGTTTAGTCCCTCTTGTCATCAAATGTTCCACCTTTTTTTTACAAATTTATACTAAATACCTTAGCAAAATAGTAGTAATTTAATGAGCTTAATAAAATAATCCTCTGAAGCTTTAAATCCACTTTATTTAACGTTAAGAAAGTCATTTGGATTAAAACCAGCATATTCCGATTTACTATAAACAGTTTTGTCAAAATAACAAGCCTATGTGAAAACCGAATCATTTAGACTAGCATATTTCACAGATTATACTCTCAAGTAAATAGTAACTCCAGTCTATTTAATTAAAAAACGACAAAATTTCAAGGCTTCTCCCAATTTTGTGCCGAGTTGAAAAAATACCCACTTCTCTGGCTAACAAATTATATGTAAATAAAACATAATCCATTATGCCCAACCAATATTTTTCATTCTGCTCTTCTTAAGATAAATAGTTAAAGCAGCTTTAAGTACATTTAAAGCCGCTGCATATGGAACCTATAGGTATCAGTGCCACATGTATCATACATAGACTCAACTTCTTGGTACTCTTTGATTTACCGTCCAGAGTGAGGGCTAAAACTTGAACGACTCTCTAAATTGGAAACTAATTAACCTTGATAGTTTACTAAATTTACTAGTTTACCTTTAATTTTGGTAATATTTCTATCTAAAAAGTATACAAATTCTTGACATTTAACTTACTATAGCAAATTATTGATATACTCAAGTATAATGCTTGATAATAAACCCTACCACCTGATTATAAACTGTCAGTGAGACGCGAGACATACGTCTCCTATCAAATAGTTGAAGAGTAGACTTATTTCTTATGCTTCCGCTCCCCCCCTTTTCTATGCCAAATTTGAGGACATTTAAAAGCCTATATCTTTGGTCATCATTAAAATATTTTCTTTAAATTTATATAAATAAATAATAATGGTCTCTCTAGTTATCTATTTTTTAGATGCTATTATCAGGCTTTATTTTCTCATTCTAAGGTGCTCGCTCATAATTTTAGCTTTGAGTTGATAATAGGTGAAATTCTGGACCTTAATCTTAACGGTTTTGTAATCATAAAAGTGCAGTTGTTAACCGCAAAAGAATGTAGTTCATTAAAATATTTCCTTTAATTTTATATTAAATTAATATTAATGACCTCTCTAGTTATCTGCCCTTTATATGCCATTATCAGGCTTTATTTTCCCTTTCTAAGGTCCTCGCTCGTCATATTCGCTTTGAGTTGATAATAAGTAAAATTCTGGACCTCTATCTGAAGAAGAGCAGAATGAAAAAAATTAGTTGGGCATAATGGATTATGTTTTGTCTACCCAGATTAGTTAATACGGTGATTTGGGATAATATAATAACTAAGACATATTTTTGCCCAATGGATGACCTCATGGATATGTCAAGTGGTATGAGACAAATGAAAGAGAGCTACTCAACTTGTCTTTCTCGTGGTCCAATGATATTTATACGTTTTATTTAAGTTAAGTCAGGTTTTCTCCCACTGCCGAAATCGCACCAGAGTTATGGTTTATTAAAGTTACCTTGAACTCTTACCAGCGTTTCAACCAGTTTCTAATCATGCAAAGACGTAGTTATGAAAGATAATTAATTTAATAATTAAATTAATTTCTTCAAACATTACATTGTTTGAAGTCTGGGTAGACTTTTAGGATAAATCGGTTATTTTTTTGACTCTATTCCTTTAAAGTCCTATCAAATATGATGTACAAATAAACTGAAAGTGTAAGTCTCAAACACTGCAACAACCTTAATCTTTATGAAATTCTGCTTTTCCTCCGGATTACATTGATACATTATATGTAAAATGAGTTAAAGGTGAAAAATGGTCGAGGAGCATTAATCACCCAGAATATAAGCACTACTACTACTATTATTATTAATACTACTAGTAGTAATTAATTTAATATAATCGGAAATTAAATTGTTATAATTTGAGTAACCTAATTCAATAACTGAGTAATTTATGATATCTCGAAGAATCCACAATTATTCACTGACGTTTTTGGTCTTTGATTCCATGAAATGAATGCCTTAAACCCATCCACCAAAAGTAAATTTGAACTTAAATTAGGCACATACAAAGTCGGAAATCGAGATTATAATAACTGATTGGGGCCATTGAGGCCATTTACTTACAACATTATTTACTTGGGAATCGTCTCCTGACTCATATTTTCAGTCCGTTTGCATAGTTTCTGAAAATCTTTATCTTCATGTCATAGATGTTGTTATGTTAATGAATATTTCTTATCCCAAATGTCTACCATTTACCATTGTTGCATGTTTGCGTATCTAGCAGAGATTTTTGACAAAGCATGTGTTTTAAAATTGACATGTTGACCAGATGATGGGCCTCATTTATTATAATAACTGCAAGCAATTCTATTTATCTATCTATTTATCTATATATATCAATATATAATAATATAATAAAAAGACAGATCTCTGATGACAAAGCATATGTATTTCAGAATTGCTTCTCGCCCCTCTAAAACAGCTTATATATTCAGATAATGAAGACAATACGTATTTGATGCTGTGAATGTATGCTTTTCTCGCATCTGACAAAGCGGCTTATGCATAAGTGGAGGAAAAATCACATCTAAATGAACCCTGTTTTCTATCAGAAATAGGAAAGCAAGATTAAAATAAAACCCTGGCTTTTACACACCTGGATCGTGTTAGAAAGTATAGGAGGGAAAGAAGAATTTGCCCACAAAGACCTTCATCTCCTTATGGTACAGTTGAATGTTGGTTGTTGCATCCTCGAACGGCAGGCAGATATGCACAGATGGACATGCGGACAGACGGACAATGGAACAGGCTGCCTGACGTCAAGAGAGTTAGAAACTGAGGAGAATCGCCGCAACTTTGATGGTACAGTTTTTCTCAGGTGCCTTAATGCATAGGTTTGTGTGATTGTGGAAAATGCTGACCTATAGGCGCAATCTACAGTATTTGGCGGCCGAAAGAGTACATGCTAGTTGAGAACCTGAGAATAAAAATTGCATACTAGACAAGAAATATAATATGAAAAATAGATAGGAAACATAAGTCGAATCAGATAGAAACGGAAGGTTAAAAAATAAGTAGTAAGTAAGAAAGAAGTGAAAAAAGGGAAGGGGATCAAAAAGTCGATGGTAGCAGTGAGTAAAATTATGGTGCCTCTTCTCTTCTGTTGCAGGAAATCTGGTGCCAAAAGCAGAAATGATTCAAGTTTGTGTTTGGCTTAGAGTACATGCAGACTCTGTGCGATTGAGACGGGTGAGCCCGATTCCTTCTGCTGTTTAGGTTGGTGAAATCACGGTTTTCGAGGCTCTCTCATCCATTCTGTCGCCTAGCAGGTTCGTGCCCACTGTTGTGGTGGTTGCGAGCTCAAATGGCGCCAATTAACTGGGCACAGTTGGAAGATGTGCCCGCTGTCTCCAGGCGTCGGTGAGAGCAACGCGTGGTGATGTCGAGGGAGTGGGAAGAAGGGAAAAAGGGAATACTGTTGCAGGGCAGGACAAATGTGAAAGTGGGTTAGGCTGTTGGTGAAGAGGCGAATGATGAGTGCATTTGTGCCCAATGACGACAGGATGGAGAGGATGAAACGAGTTGAAAGTAGCG